GGGCGTGATGTCTTTTGGCGGAAACCTGAAATCTGCCCCGGGTACTATTCAAGGGTGCACTTGGGAGGCTGCATGGCCATAGGTGTGAGGTTGAAGGGAAGGTACTGATGGATGACCTGACCTGGTTATCTAGGGGCACCAGTGCTTGCATACTGCTTGTGCCCTGCCCATGCTCAATCCTGAATATAGCATTGACCTTGCAACATTGTGGTTTTGACAAAATCCACCTCTTAATGGCATTTCTAATAGACTCACCTTGTGTTCTATGGTCAAGTTCTCTATTTCTGCTAGGCCCAGCATCACACCAGGACTTGCTTTTCCAGGAGTGTAAAATTCACTGTAGAGTTCATGATCTTGATTTGGACCCTCAGAGGCTTGAATTCTGTCTTTTGCCTTGGGGGATTGTCATGAACTGCCCTTGGCCTCCACTGATAGCTTTTTGCCTTCTGGTCATAGAACATGGGACAGACTGCTTGCAGCTAAGCCTGCGTCTTCTGTGGAGCCATTTCCTGGGCTGGCGCCCACTAAAAACCAGCTTTATGTTCACCTCCTGGTGTACTCTTGTATTACTCTAACCAAAATACGTGACAGAAATGACATCACGGAGGAAAGGCTTAATTTGGTTCAGTTTCAGAAAGATTTCCATTTAGGCAGCAGAAGCAATGTGGGAGAGGCTTGTTCACAGAGCAGGCCAGAAGCAGAGGAGGGTACACTTTTCAAAGACCCACCAGCCAGCCAGCCTCCTAAAGTCCCTAAGCTTTCAGAATAGCACCACCACAAGCTGGGGTCATGTGCTTAGAAAATTCCACCCCAGGGCCCCAACAGTGAGATCCTGTCCCCAAAAACTAAACCACCACAGATCCAGGAATGCTTAATACTCATACACATAAAATAAAAATAAATTTTAAAAAGAAAACCAGATCTATAAAAAGGGTCAGGCATGGTGGCACATACCTTTAATCCTAGCACTAGGGAGGCAGAGGTAGGAGGATCTCTGAGCTAAGAGGCTAGCCTGGTCTAAATAACTCAGTTCCAGGCCAGCCAGGGAACTGAGTAAGACCCTGTCTCAAAAACAGAACAAAGGAAGGGCATGGAGAATACACTAAAACAAGCCTTAGTCACAATGGACAATCCCCCCACTATACAAAATGGAGGGAGCCCACCACTACTCACTTTGTCAGAAAGATCAGAAAATAAGTAATGCATCAATATGTGTATATATTCACAGGCAAGAACAAATGGCTAGCATCCTAATTTACTAGTTTCATTTCTGTTGCAGTGACAAAATACCATGACATAGTAATTTAAGGGAGAAAGGGTTTATTTTGGCTCTCAGTTCAAGGGTCCATTCTAGCATGGTGCAGGATCATGAGCCCAGCCTGTCAACACTGCATCAAGTAGTCCGGAAGCAGAGGGAGAACAGGGCCAGGCTACAAAACCTCAAGTCTGTCCCCAGAAACCTACTTCTCCAGCATGGAGGATTCCATAACCTTTCCAAACAGCACCACCAGCTGGGGACCAAGTGTTCAAACACTATGGGAAACATTTCATTCAAACCACCTCAAATAACTAGACAGAGAACTCAGAAGTCCAGGCTGGAGTAAAGTTATGAAGGGCTCTGTGACACTTTCATGGCTACCACACAGTATCCACCATGGAAGAGGAATTTAGTTAGTGGTTGACACCAGCTTGCCTGTCCTTCCCGACTGCGGTGCTGGTATAATGGCAGTTGAGTGGAGTGCCTATAGTGGGATCCATAAAAGCCATGCCTAGTCCTATAACACAGGCACCAACCTAAGTCTGATCCAACCACTGCTCTGGACAAATACCCTACCTGACAGCACTGGGCTTGATTATCCCTTGAAGAGACCAGCTAGCAACTTAGTGGTAAATTGACTACATTTAGTCTCCTACCCTGGAAAGACCAGAGCAGCACTGATGAAAGGTTATAGTATGTTGATCTACTGGCATGGGATCCCAAATAATACTGTCAAACCAGGAGATTCACTTCATAGTAAAAGGGGTTGAATGGGTCCATTGCCTACTGATCAGATCATATTACTTCAAGCCCACAAGCTCCTGGCCTGGTAGCATCAGAGTAGTTTGTTAATGGTATTAAAGGGCCATCTGAGAGTTAAAAGTCTGGAAGAATGAGGTGCTATCCTCCAGAGCACAGCATACACTCAAGTACTTGAATATATAGGCCCAAGAAGGGGAGCCACCGCCACCATTTATCACCTTCCCATGACCATAGGGAACTCTGTGCCTCCCCTATAACCTAAAGTCCTATAAAGCTAAAGGTCCTGGTCCCCAGAGATACAGCTGTACCAGGAAATGTAGTAAAGTAGTGCTTATCGTCTAATGAAAAATTTTTGTGTGCACATGCATTTAGAAGTCAAAGGTCAACCTTGGGTGTAATTTCTCAGATGTTGATTTTGAAGACAGGATCTCTTACTGCTTGAGGCTTGACATTTAGGTTTAAGCCTACATGGCAAACTCTTTTCAACTGGGCTTTCTCTCTCCCTGCTTTATGTAAATTTTCTTTCAAACACTATAAATTCTATTTAGTCAAAGTGAAAAAAACTTAGCACCCAAAGGACAGTAAAATATTCTGGGCTGCAGTTACAGCATTGCACTAGATTGAGAATTAGACAGTATGGGTTCTGATGAATCTAATCAAGATTTTTCATTATTTATGACCATTACCTCAAAAGCATAGAACTCCCATTAGAGTTCTCTACTGAACTTGGCATGAAATGACCAAATGCTTGGGCTTTATCAGTTAAAGCATTAGATCTATCCCTGTCCTAGTGTTCCTGTTTTTAGGTGTATAAATTTGTACTTGTGTCTTCACTTGATAAACTTTTTATTCCCCTTTGCTTAGATGATTTCCTTTCTTTCCTCCTCTCTCTCCCCCACTCTTACAGGGTTTCAGTACATAGCATTGGTTGACCTGGAACTCACTGTGTAGTCCAGGCTGGTCTCAAACTCAAGAGATCCACCTGCCTGTCTCCTGAATGCTGGGATTAAAGGCATGTGCCACCATGCTGGGTGGTTTGTAAAAACCATCTTTTTGTTTCCACTTAAATTTCTCCAGGAAAGGAAACAACCTGAAGATTTCACTTAATTAGATGGTTTTTATGTGACTGGATGGCCTGTCCTGAGAGAATTGTAACATACTTAGAGACTCATACAACACTAAAAAAAATAGGGCTGGAAAGATGGTTCAGTTGGTAAAGTGACGCCTGGAGAGATGGAGACATGAGGATCCCTGGGACTTGCTGGCCAGCTCAGTTGAACTGGTGGTGAACTTCAGGTTCAGTGAGGGACTCTGGCTCAAAAAATAAGGTGGAGAGCAACTGAGGAAGATACCTGAAGTTGACCTAAGGCTTCCATAGCACACAAACTCAATATATATACATGAAAGGAAAAATTAACAAGCAACTAGTCACTCCTGGAAGATGAGGAGGAGAAACAACCATGTTTTGAAACTTGCAAAGAACAGAAATTTATTCCATACTCCTGGGTAACTAAAAAGCAAGAGGAAGGTTACTGTACTGCAGCTAAAAAAAGAGATGACAGGATTAGAATGCTGCCATTCAGTAATTCCTATTAACTGAGAGCTCCAGGCATTATCAAGTGTCCAATTAACACTTGCTAATCTCTGACTAGAGAGACTAGGTAATACGCACCACCTGATGTAAGAGTACTACTCTACTATCAAGGCTAGAGAGGTGGCTCAGTGATTAAGAGCACTGGCTGCTCTTGCAGAGGACCTGGGTTTGATTCCCAGCATCCACATGGTGGCTAATAACTGTCTGCATCTCCAGTACCAGGGGAATCCAAAGCCGCCTTCTGATTCTGATCCCTGAGGGCACTGCACTCGTGCATGACACAGGAGCACTTACATACAATGCAGGCAATACACTGATACACATAAAACAAAAATAATTAAAAAGAGCGCCACCACCGTGATGAGGTCATGCCCCCCACCCAGTCAAACAATGAAACCCCAGTGGATTCAAAACAAGTTCACAAAAAGTACAAGTGACAGAGCATGTTAAATATATCAAGATTATAATCACAAAATCTGGGAAACATTATACAGATCATGTTTTCTTCATAAACTAATTTTGGGGGGAGGGGAGGGGGCACAAAGGGAGGGAGGGATGGAGAGAGAGAGAGAGAGAGAGAAATATATAGCCCTTACCTGAATCTTAATGTATAACTGCTTATACCAACTAAAATTCTGGTTAAGAAACTGTCAGTATTTTGGCATGATGATGGTATCTGTGTGTTGGGGGTATGTGTAAATTCTTTCTGAGACAAGGTATACAACCCAGGCTGGCCTTGAAATCAAGATCCTCTTGCTGCTGCCTTCTGAATGCTGAGATTGTAAGCATGCTCCACCATGCCTGCCTTTGCTGTATATTTCAAGGAGTTTTTAAAAAGTCAACACTAAAATAATTATTAAAGAAGGATATCTGGATTATTTAAAAATAGTTCAGAGAGCGCCAGGCATGGTAGCCCATGCCTTTAATCCCAGCAAGCAGGAGGCAGAGGTAAGCAGATCTCTGAGTTCCAGGCCAGTTGGGGCTATACAGGGAGATCCTGTCTCCAAAAAAAAAAAAGGCCAGTGGTGGCAGACACCTTTCTCTGTGAGTTCAAGGCCAGCCTGGTCTACATAGTGAGTTCCAGGCCAGCTGGGGCTATAGGGAGACTCTGTCTCAAGAAAGACCAAATAGATGATAGATGATAGATAGATATAGATAGATAGATGCAGATGAGCAGAGCCATACAGAATATACTGGTTACAAAAATGAAACCAATAATTCATTTCTAGCTCTTATTGTCTCAGCCTATCTGCTGCTCAAAAGGCAACAACACAGAAGAACACACACACACACACACACACACACACACACACACACACACTATGGCACTATTCTGTCAGAACAGGTTACTCAATCAGGCAAAAATCAATCTAATACTTCATTAAGTAAAGTTCAAGCACATTTCAAAAAGTTTCTCATTTATTTAAACACAAAACACATGTATAGCATGCAAGTTAACTTAAAAATTACATGGTGTCTTCCCAAACCAATTATGTCTGAATGTATCTTCAAGCACTGAAAAAAATAAACCAACACATTCCACAGGTAGACTCAGACTCTTCTGTTACCTCAAGTCAAATGAGAGTTGCATATAAATTCAGTTATGCATAGTAGTTTCCTTAAGTTAGGCAAATAATTTAATTGATAACCACGAATAAATATTACTTTTTTATTTCACCAAGTTTCTCTTCTGAACCATTTACCAATACCAGTCAGAGGAACATCAATATATCCAGTCACAAAAGACACTGCAAATTAAAATATTGTCAATATTCTAGATGACCAGAAGTATCTGTTTATGAGAGTAAATGCTGGAATGACTTATCATAGCAAAAAAAGAGCAGTTCATGGAAAATAAATTTATGAAGTTCTTGGTATACTTTGTGAAAGCTTGAAATTATAAATAAAAAGAAACATGAAGATATTTTTAAAACCTAACATTGTGTTTTCTGAACCACATGCTAGTTAACAATTCATTGTGTGTTGCACAGCACCAATACCCATGATACATCTTAAAACTACTATATTCAGCAAGAGAAAGAAATTGTTTCCTTTATGAAAACTGCCAAAGCAGCAAGTTTTCATTTGAAAACAAAAAAGTCTGTATGAATGCAGCCAAATGCCTCTCACTTAGAAAATGGCCACCAGGAAGGGGCAGTGCTCTTTATTAACTGTGTGGCTTCTATCTTACTGGATCGAGGTCTTACTTCAGTTTGTGGAGTGTTTCTTTTTGATCAATCATAAAAGCAACACAATCATTAAAGGCTGCAGACTACGACAGCAAAGATTTCTGACTGTTAAAAAAATAAATAAATTTATTTTTCAAATGAAAATTATTATAAAAGTGGAAATTACAATAGTTAAGGAAATAGAAAAATAAGCCAATTATGATCTGAGTCTTCTGACTATGGCTCCAAATTAGTAATACAAATATCTATATAAAAATTTCAAAATTTCTGCCAGCCAGATCCTAACACAAAACTTCCCAAGTATCTCTATCAATTGAATAACCTCAAACATCCCATTTTCTGCAAATTTCTGTTAACACCATTGCAGTCACCCCTACCACTGATGAAGCAAATATTGAAATCTCTTTTCCTATTTCTTTTATAGTTTCCTAAAATAAACTTGATTTAGTTTAATCATCTGAAAAATAAGTGGCACACTTAAAAATAAGTACACACTTAGCACTAATTACAAAATTGTGCACTATGGCCAACAATATAATTTATTTGAGGATTATTAGTGATTTTTCAAACAATTTACTGTTTCTAGACTAAACAAATAAATTATAATGTATGACTTAGTATAGCAGGTTAAAACACCTCTGGGATTTCAGAGCAAAATTTACCTCTAATTTTTTTTTTGTATCCTCTGTATTTTTAACTTTACGGCGTATCTTTTCTGTTCCTTCACAACTTTTTCTCAATTTTCAAGGCTATAAATTTCCATCAGCCAATATAATTATCTAACAATATAAAACTGCTTAGTTCTACGATGCCTTAATTCATTTCCTATATAGAGATGACATGTTAACATCCACCCAATTCCTATCTTACTAGTAGGATTACCAGAGAGCAGCCAGGCATTCTTATCCTACCAAGCTATATTAAGTATGGAAGCAGGAAGAAGGGAGACAGAATCATCTCCAAACTCCCTCTTAAAATGAGATTTGCTTTCGATATGTAAAATAGTTCTATTCAAAATAACATGCAATAGGCATTTCATGAGATAACAATCAAGGAGCCTGCTCAGTCTCAAATGCCTGGTTAGACAGTCGTAAGGTTTCAGTGCTCAAACTTTAGAGACCATACAAGCAATCTGAACCCTGATTTCATTTCAAGGGATTTTAAAATACAGTACTGACTTGATATATTTTGTGGCATGTAGTGTTGTAAGTGGTAAAATTTAAGACATTTAATCTAAATGTTCCATTTTCCCTTAAAAAAAGGGAAGACATTTTAGTAGGAAAAGAAAAACAAAAAGCAGTAGCAGCTGGGTAATTTAAACCTAGATTAAAAACACACACACATATTACAAAACGCAAATACAAAAAGCACAGTCCTATAAGATACAGTCAGCTTGGCACAGTGAAGACTAAATTTAAGACATAAAAGACAAACTGTGTAATAAATAGGGCCACAGTTGTAAACTGTCATTTTCCCCTCCTAAGACGTCAATTGCACTCTAGTTGTGCTGGGAAGCAGCAGAGTTTGCAAGAAGAGTGGGTAGGAAACAGCTGTACAGGCCAGGAATAATTTACACATTAAAAAATTAGAATTCTACAATCCAGGGAGAGCGGTTACAGTCACTGGACGACTGTTTGATAACTATGTCCTCTTCATACAGCAACTGCTTTTCAATACCTGAAATGGGAGAAAGCATAGAGACAATTTTAGTCTATAATGTTTGGGATAACTATGTAGAATCAAATGAGAAGATAAAATGTCAATAGCTTTGACCACTTTCCCCAAAATTTAATTTTAAGGCAATATTAAAAATGATCAGACTTCTTTTACTTATCTAGTAACTATAACTACTGATAAGGAGAACAATGTTTAAAAGGTCAGACCTTTTTTATTCTCCATAATAATACCATAGTATAGAGGGGCTGATATATGAATCATTTAATAAAGAAAACAGAGCTGGGCATGGGGGCTCACATCTGTAATCCCAGCACTTGGGAGACTGACGCGTACCTGGGTTAGAGAGGGAGATGGTGGGGAGAGCAAGCCGGGGTGGTGGGGGGGTGGGGGGATGAGTTCGAGGCTAGCCTGGTCTACATAGCAAGTTCCAGGCCAGCTGGGGCTACAGGGAGCCCCTGTCTCAAAAAAAAAAAAAAAAATTACCAGTACAAGAACTAACTAAGATGGAGGTTTAAGAACACGTGCTGCTCTTTCAGAGGACTCAAGTCCACCAAAGGCACCTGCACTCACATGCACATACCCACATACATAATTTAAAAATATGTAACAAAAATTAATCCTTTATTCATAGAAAACAAATTTGTGAAATTCTTGGTATACTTTATGAAAGCTTGAAATTATAAATAAAAAGTTTTAAAAAAATACAAAATGACTATCTTTTGGACCAGCAATAAAACAAACCTATAAATAGCTGGCTGGCTACCATTTCCCTTCTGAGCTAACCTGCCATCATACTAAAGATGAACTGTATGTATTTTACAGACACCATGATCTATCCTACGCAAATGAAGTATGAATTCAAAGTTTATGCGTCAATCTTAATATTTTATTTATTTTTATTTTATGTGTATGAGTGTATTGCCTGAATGTGTATAAGTGCACCTGTGTTGTGCAATGCCCACAGAGGTCAGAAGGTGGCATCAGATCCCCTGGAAGTGGAGTTAGGGACAGTTATTAGCTGCCATGTGGGTGCTGGGAACTGAACCCCAGTCCTCTGTAAGAGCAATCTATGCGCTTAACTGCTGAGCCATCTCTCCAGCCCCAAAAGTTTATCAATTTTAACATGAAAACAATAACCAAAAATCCCTTTGCCTAGCTCCCTCTTCCAGAAAGGGAGAAGGGCAGCTTTTGTCTACTAAACGCTCAGTGCTACATAATATCTTAACTCATGCAATTCTCACAAACTGTTTCTATCTTACTAATAAAAGGGATTTGAAGTTATTTGTCCAAAGGGGACAGGCATGTAGGGAGGTTGTATCTCTCATTGGTAGGAACATCAACTACTCTGTCTACAGTGTTACTAAAACAGGGTCCAATCAAAAAATGTTAATGGCAGGGGCTGGAGAGATGGCTTAGTGGTTAAGAGCACTTGCTATCCTTGCAGGTTCAGCTCCCAGCTCCCACACTGCAGCTCAAAACTGTTAACTCTAGTTCCAGGGGACCCAATTCCTTCTTCCGGCCTCCATGGGCATCAAGCACACAGGTAATGCACATATATACATGGAAGCAAAACATTCATATACATAAAATAAAACTTTAAAAAGTGTTTATGCTAAATCAATCAATACTTCTCATCTATACTGATATATGGCAACTGGGAGTGGGGGCAGAAACACGTAAATACACATATGATTAAACACATCCAGAAGGAATGTGTCTCTGGTAAGTCACGGTCACTAAAAAGGTGGGGGTATGTTCCATATTAAAAGAAACTTGAGGAAAAAACAATCTCACACAACAGTCCTAGATTATGCCCTAGTTAAACAAATTAGCCACACCAGAAATTAAAAAGAAATGAGATTTTGAGGGATATAGCACAGTGGTATAGTGTTTGCCTAACATCTGTGAAGCCCTGAGTTAGGTCCTTATAACCCTGAGGAAGAGGAAAAGAGAAGGCAAAAAAAAAATTCTGAATTTGGACATTAGATAATATTACACACTTTAATTGTTAGGTGTAAATGTAATTATAGCTGTACAGAAAAATGCGGCTTTTCCTATTCATCAGTTAAGTCATGAATTCATAACTTATTTTTATAGTGATGATTTAAAAAAAATATTAATCTTATTTTTTTTCCATGTATGAGTGTACTGCCTGCATGTATGTGAGTGCACCCGTGTCACACAATGCCCAAGGAGGTCAGAAGAGGGCATTAGATCCCCTGGAACTGGAGTTACAGACGGTTGTTAGTCACCATTGGGGGCTGGGAATCGAACCCATGTCCTTTGCAAGAGCAGCCAGTGCTCTTAACTGCTAAGTCCTTTCTCTAGCCCCATCAATCTTATTTTTTCAGACAGGACCGCTCACTGAAACTGGAGCTCACTGACTAAGCTAGCTGCCCAATGAGATGCAAGCTCCAGGGACTCTCCCATCTCTCAGGTGGGCCAGGAGAAAACATTGGATCCCCTGGAACTAGATTTAGAGGCAACTGTTAGCCTCCATGTGGGTGCTGGGAACTGAACCTGGGTCCTCTGGAAGGGCAGCCAGTGCTCTTAACGGCTGAGTCATCTCTCCAGCCCCTCACTTAAATCTCATACTGGATAGAAAATAGGGAATATTAAATTGTTGAACTCTCTAGATTACTGTTTCAATTTCTACTCAATGTTAGGAAACAGCATTATGCACCATGTCAAAACAAAAAGCAAAGATAAACTAGCTTTAGTATTTCTCAGAAGCAATAAGTTACCTATCACATAATTATCTAGTATTTTAATTTTCAGTTTTGACACCTATAGGACTTCTTAATTAAAAATCAGACTTCCTGCAAAGTATCATGAACTATTAGGCAGCTACTAACTAACTGTGCGGTAGGAGAAAATATTCAGAATGGATTGTTAAATTAAAACAGAGCTATCAAATACCATACGTGAACAGGCACAGTATGTTATTAAAATAGCTTAAACCTTACAAAGCTCTCAAAATATATACCCAACATACTCGGTAGTAGCTCTAGATATTTTGTGATACTCTTTATCTTCCTGAAAGAAAAAGATATTACTTGTGGAAATAAAAATAAAGAAAACTGAATCAGTGAGATGGCTCAGCAAGTAACGTATGTGCCCACAAGCCTGACAACCTTAATTTGATCCCAGGGACCCACATGATGTAAGGACAGAGTAGAGTCTTGGAAGTTGTCTCTGACCTCTACATGCATGCCCCGACACTGACACTCATCCCAAACAAGGAAATAAGGAAGAAAGCTCAGAAATGTTAGAAAAAAAAAACCAAAACAACTCACAATAGGTGAAAGGAAAAGAAATACAAAGAAATAACTTGTTTGAAACAGGAAATGTCCCCCAGCATGGTGGTGCACGCCTTTAATCCCAGCACTCGGGAGGCAGAGGCAGGCGGATCTCTGTGAGTTCAAGGCCAGCCTGGTCTACAGGCTGTTCCAGGACAGCTGGGGCTACGGGGAGACCCTGTCTCAAAAAGACCAAAGGAAAAAAAAATAATAATAAGGAAATGTAAATGGATCAATAAATATGCTTATAAAATCCAACTTCATTAAGAATCAATTTTGGGCCTATTAGAAGCTTACAAACTATTGATATTCAATGCTGGAAAGAATGTAACCAAATACTTTTTACTAAGATACAATTTTGTGCAGTCCTTCTATAAAGGAATGCATGAAGAGCCCTAAACATGTCCATACATGGCATTCCACCTTAAAGATATTTCATACTTCAAATTTCACATATAGAAATTTCTATTTTGGAAAAAGTTAATGTGCTTTATTAAATTTCTAGTAAAGAGAATGTTATAAACCAGGGTATATCTCCATTAGGTAGAATACAAAGGAGCATTACAAATGATCCAATATTAGTTTTAGAAATAGTAACAACACAAATCTAAAAATATAGATTATCTAAACCATAAAATAAAGAAATCATACTAAGTTACTGTCACAAAATTACATACAAATTAAAAAATGAATCCCAAAGCCTAATCCAAGTAGCTCGGCATTCCCACATGTAGCTGTGGCTCAAAAGCAGACATGACTCCACACCTGCCAATGTGTGGCTTTCTAGGCTTGCTTGCCGCCTCCACCTCGCAGCGCCACTGGCTGGTTATTCTGAACAAATGTGCCTCCTCCTCGAATTGTACCCGGGTGAGTTGGAGAAGCTGCTGGATGCTGACCAGGACGAATAGGCTTTGCTAGTGTAAGAAAGAGAGATGGAGTTAGAATAGAGCTTAACCACAAATGCAATGACTACTCAGGTTTTTCTTTCATTATGGAGATCAAGATGGCCTTGAACTCACAGAGATCTGCCTGCCTCTGCCTCGGGAGTCCTGGGATTAAAGGCATGCTCAGCACCTTTTTGTTTCTTGAGTTCTCTTTTGTTATATCCCTTTCTCCAGAACCAGTTAACACAATCTCTTACCTGTTAATACTTCAAAAATGTTTATCAATTGATTGGAAAATTTTATTTTAAATTTATTATTATGTGTATGTGAGTGTGGTGTATGGGTGCCATTGTTGCATGTGGAGATCTGAGGACAATTTTCTGGAGTCAGTTCTCTTTTCCCCATAGGAAATAGAGATCAAACCCAGGTTTGCACAGGAAGTGCTTTTACCCACTGAGGCATCTCAACAGGCCCCTCTTAACAATCTGATTTCTGTCCCATAATAATCCTGAAGTGGAGAGTAAAGGTTGATGACTTAACTTTCAATTCTCTTTTAGCTTTAATATTATTGGTCCATATAGTTTTCTCCTAGCCTTGCCCATATCTAGCTATTTAACTACCTGTTCTGTTAATTAGTATCTTCTTCCCTAACAGTACCACTCTTTAGCAATTTAGAAAATAAACATAGAAATATCATCCTAACAAAACAGTAAGAAAAAACAGATAATGTTTTTAAGTTAAGCAACAGGACTTAAACCAGGCATAGCTTAAAGGTTGTATTCAGCACACTCTACTAACCAATCTGGGCAGAATGCCCCCTTCTGGCCATGTTCTTTGACCTGACTGCTTCCTTTATCCGATCTACTTCTTGCTGATAGCGTTTGCGGTCTCGAGATGCATTTTCTTTGGCTTCTTTCAGGGCTGACTCCAAAGCTTTCACTCTCTCAGCAGTAGCTCTAAGTCGTTTCTCTAACTTAGGAAGTTCACAGCGAAGGTCTGCATTATCACGTACCAACTGAAGGTATACAGAGAAAATATGGAGCGTTTTTAACAAGATGATTTGAGAAGATGAATGTTTCATAATTGCACTTTAGAAAAGTCGAACTACATTTTCTACTGAGCATTCCCATTAATTTAGGTAGCAACATGCAAGAAACAACACATGTATCTATACATAGCAGAGACACATTTTTCACAATGTGCATGTTTGTTTAGGTACTTTTCTGTTTTGACACAGGGTTTCATGTAGCTTGGATAGTCTTAAACTTGCTCTGCAGCAGATGATAACCTTGAACTTCTGATCCCCTAGACTCCTCAGTGCTAGGATCACAAGCATATGCTCCCATACTCAGTTTTATGTGGTACTGAGGATTAAACTGAGAGCTTCCTGTATGCTAGGCAAGCACTCTAGCAACAGAGCTACATCCTAGCCATGTTTAGTTAGTTATTTTTTATGGGGGTAGATTGGATTGTTACCTTCCTGTACCAGACAGTGAAGTAGAACACTAGTACACAGTGCTTTCTTTAACCAAACACTAATGCTGTAAAATGGGTATCCCTTTAGGCACGTCCCTCTGAGACAGGGTTTTGCTATTCATCTCAAGCTGGCTTTGAACTCATTAAGTAGTGGAAGATGACCCAGACCTGCATCCTCTATGCCCCAGTGTTAGGACTACAGATACATACCAACATGTAGAATTCTATGGGGTTGCTAGGGAACAAACCCAGAGGTTTATGCACGCTAGACAAGCACTCTACCCGACTCTTCACAAGTAAACATATTAATAAAAGCTTAAAAGTATCTTTAGCTTTACACTGGTGCAAGTTTCAGGTTTGCAGTAACAGTTAAATTTTTAAAAAATTAGTATTCTTATAAAATATGTGAACTGTTGCATTAATTATGTATTTCAGAGACTGGACAAAAAACTCAAAAAAGAGAAAGCTTTATTTTAGCTGCCAAGTTCCCTGTCCAATAAACTAAGAAACACTGTCACACTTGAAACCCTACAGAGGAAATAAGGATATACCTTTTCATTGGATTTGTCTATTAAACAGGGTCGTTAAAAAATTAACTTCCCCCTTAGGCATACCTATAATCTCAGCACATGGGAAGCTGAGGCAGGGTTACTGAGCTACACAGTACGACTGTCAGGGCCAGTCTCAAAAAAAATCTAGACTACATAAAAATGCTAACTTCCCTGAAAGTTGCTAATCTGTATAGCTGCTTAATAAAATAATGGAATAGCATAGGGCTTAAAATTTTTTAGGGCCCTGAAAGGTTAAAACACTTTCTACTCCTCAATTTTTGGTTTTTATGCTGTTGAAGACATCAAACTAGGTATTTTTTATTACCTGCTTATGCACTTTAGTGAGCTGTTCAAGATTATTTTCAAGAAAGGAAATCTTCTGTTTTTGTGCAGCACTGCCCCCAGTGTCATCAGAATCAATCTCAGCACTCTGAGAAAAGAAGGTTAACGAGTATGATGAAAAAAGGTCAAAATACCTGAGCTTAAACAACACAAACGTGGACATAACAACATAAAACTATTTTACTTAAGAATACCAAGATTCACATAGGCAAACACAAATATCCAAAATAAATAAAATCTTAGCCGGGCATAGTGGCACACACCTTTAATCCCAGCACTCTGGAGGCAGAGGCAGGCAGATTTCTGTGAGTTCAAGGCCAGTCTGATCTACATAGTGAGCTCCAGGACTGCTGGGGCTACAGGGAGACCCTGTCTCAAAAAGACCAAACAAAATAATAATAATAATAATAATAATAATAATATCTTTAAGGAAAAATTGCATACGGCAAGCAGCTTTACTGTTAATGCCCCTCAGCACTGTTGCATCACCTTTTTAACTCTGGTAGCCAGGTCCTGAACAAAGAGCTTGCGTAGGTTATGTAGAGTCTGAAGTTCTTTTGCCTTGAATTAAGAACAAAAACACCAGTCTTAAACTCAAGATAACTAGGGTAGAAAATTCTAAAAAATGACTCCCAATCTTACTATTTTCACATTTTTCTTACCACGGTCTCTTCCAAACCCTTCAAGTCTTGTCTTGCTTGTTCCCGTCGATCTTGCATTACCCTAGTAGTAGAATATAGGTACATATACATTTTCAAACTTGAACCCAAAAATTCACTTTAACAAAAATTAAATCAAACTTTTTATATGAAAGAATGTTATTAAATTCAAATGTAAAGAGGCTTGTATTTAAACAAAAGTTTGCCCATGTACCTTTCAAAGAATTTTTTATAGATTTCAGTTTCTTTAAAAAGAAAACTACACAGAGTTAAAAGTATAGTTTATAGAGTAACATTCCTCCTACAACAATGGAAACAGTGTGTGGCAGCTTATAAAGAATGGCTCAAATTTTTATTTTAAAACATGCTACATATCCTGTTATTTATCCAACATGATATGGATTAAGTGGGAATTGTTGATACTGTAATTCAGTAGAATTCTTTTTTCTGCCCCCCTGCAGTGCTGGGGCTTGAACCCAGGGCCTTGTGCAAACTCAGCACATTACCTACTGGCAACAATCCTAGCCCACTGCAAAACCTTTCTAAAAATCAACTCTGAACTGGTCTTATGGTGAAACCATTCTATAAAGATAGTAGTTCATTTTCAAATTATCTCTTAAAATTCAAGGTATGCAGAAGAGTATAATCAGAAGTTTTCTACCTTTAAGGATTCTGGAAAACCAAGTGAATGAGGAAAAAGCAGGGGAAAAAACCTCTGTTTAAAAGCTAAGGGTAAAACAGTGTCATTCCATGAAAAGTCAAATTTGACAAAACTTAGTGTCAGAAGTAGATCCTACAATTTTCTAAATTATGTATTATTATACTTTGTTTTTCTGATAAATTCTGAAATACAGCAACAAAGAAAACAGTCTGAGAAACAGGACTCTATATGAAACCCTGCTTTCTCTAAAGTGCAAGTACACAGTACAGGTTTCTAAGATACAAATCAAATGGAGAGAGGTAGGGGGAGATGCAGATGAGGAGGCTCTAAATATTAATAAGATGTATCATGAAATGCATAAAAATTCAGTAAAAATGTATTAAAAGAAACAAGAAAGCAAAACAAAACAAAATCCCCAACAAATCAAACCAACTCAGAAGACATGTATCCATCAGTAATATCTACAGTTTTGCATGTTTTAAAACTTTCTGGTAATACTCACGTAAGTTCATGCAGTTTTTTGCTTTTTTCCTGATCTGTAGCTTTCAACTTCTCATGTTCAACTCTTAGACGTTCCTGCTCTAACATCATTTTCTGGTTTTGGCTGACAAAAGAATTTAACACGTTTGACCTCATGTTTTCTGAATGTCATCATCAAAATTTAACTTTTTGTTGTTGGCTTTTGAAAGAGGACACTACTACATATTCATCCTGAAGTGAAACTTGAAATCTTTTTGCCTCAGCATAGGATTATAGGCACATGTCATTGCACTGGGCTTGGACTCTAGCCCCAGCTGGGCTGGAACTCCCTATGTAGACCAGGCTGGCCTTGAACTCAGAGATCTGCCATCCCCTGCCTCCCAATTGCTGCTAGATCAACTAAGATGACTTCTGTTTCAAAAAACTCAACAAACCCCCCACAATTTTCAATGATACTTTTCTGCAGCAGTTCACACACGAGTAGACATCAGTTATAATGAGTTTAAACTACAGATCCCTTGTTCCCTCCCCACCTTTTACTAAATATTTAGAGCAAAAGGTCTAATAAATTTTTTAGACTGATCTGGAACTTAAAGTTTTACTGAAAATGTGAAAAATCTTAATTTTTCCATTTCAAAAGTTCTAATTTTGCTAGCAACTACAGGTTTCTAATACTGTCCATTAGTAACCTATTATTTCCTGTTGTCTGATTAGTCAATCTTTCTGAATTAGTTTCTACTATGAAAGGGAAAAAGCTAATACTTACTCTTGAAGATCAGTTATTAGTTTTTCCTTTGCCTCAACTTCATCTCTCAAACTACTGATTTGTTTTTGATGAGTTTCTCTGTGACTCTGGATCTGCTGCTCAACAGCTTGCTAAAATTTGTGTGGAAGGGAAAAGAATATTAAAGTCAGACTAATATGATGGATTAAAAATAGAAGAATCCGGTGCTGGAGAGATAGCTCAGCAGTTAGGAACACTGGTTGTTCTTGCAGAAGACCCGGGTTTGAATCCCAGCACCCACGTGGCAGCTAACAACTGTTGGTAACTCTGGTCCCTGGGCATCCGATAGCCTCTTCTGACCTCCGCGGGCATTGCAAGACACGGGTGCATGTAGGCAATACATGCATACATGATAAAATAAAAATAATAAAATTTTAAAAAGGACTTCTGGCTTATTCTTTAAAAAAAAAAACAAAAACAGAAGAATCCAATATAACATGAAACTTGCCTTCACTTCGTTTGCAGTCTGAACTTTGTTTAAGTGCTCTTTTTCCATCTCATGAACTTTCTCTGTATATGGGGGGGAGGGGGAAAGAAGACAACCAAAGTAAGTGTTGTTAAGATTCCTCATATAAACCAAAGAACAAATGGATTTTATATGAACTACGTATTTTAGCAGAACTCTCTAAACTCAATGACACTAGTACAATCAGTTGTACCCACTGTATTGAAATTATGAAGGGAAACGAGATCGTTTCTAAGCACCTATGTTAAAATTGTACACACACATAGATACATATTAGAACTTCAAAACTTTGTGGGAAACCTTACCATTTATTATATGCGACACAATTTTTCTTTCTTCTAGTATGTATGTGTTTGCACTATGTTTTTGTGTGAGTCTGGATGCCAGAGGCCAACTTCACATCATCCTGTACCACTCTCCAATTTTAACAAATATTTCAAAGCTACATTGAAGTGGTTGATTTATTTACTATTTCAAATTATCCACATTCCTACTATTTTATTTCTTTGTAACTGAACAATTATCCAAAATAAGAACTGGAAGCCAATACCTTGTGCTCGAAGCTGGACAAGCTCTTCACTGAGGGAGTCCACAGACTCCTCCAGCTGTCTCTTCTTCTGTTCCACATTCTGAAGGTACTCAGTCAGTGACTTGATCTTGGCCTCATGCTTTTGGAAAAGATACACTGATATGAATTGGGAAAATACTTTACACATTTTCTAGGTAAGATGTGATAAATTAGAGTTATCTACAGTTTATGCTGCTTGCAAACTGAGACAGTGATTATCTTGCTTCTCTCCTTGAACAAGTCTTGTCTTCAAGTCACCACTACTCAGCAGCCAAAGTAAGGAAACTGGTCCCAGTGCTCGTGCTCACCCTAGAATCCTTCCAGTCTTTGTAAATCAGCCACATAGTTCTAGTTAATTTTCATACTTTGTATATACAGGTGTTCAAACATTCAAGTTGTTTTCCTGAAGCCATGCAAACAAACACCTGACTAAGCTTTTTGTTACGGGAAAATACACAGAAGCTCATTTTCCTGAAAACTTTTATAATTAAAAAAAATTTGCACTTTTTTTTGTGATAAAAAGAACTGTTCTGTAACACGCACCTGGGAGATACGCAGCTGGCACGCTGCTAGCTCTTTCTCATTTTCTTCCATCTTTTTGTTGCTCTCGGTCTGAGTGCTTTCTAACTGTTTGCAGCGTTTCACCATTGTTTTTACTTCTGACTTCATTTTGCTAATGTAGAGCCTGGCAACAGTGAACTCTTCATCTATCATACCAGTTCCCTCAGGCTGCTGTGAAAAAAAAAATGAAATAAAATGTTAAAGCCAAGGGGGCTGGAGAGATGGCTCAGCGGTTAAGAACACTAGCTGTTCTTGCAGAGACCCAGGTTTGAATCCCAGCACCTACATGGCAGCTAACAACTGTCCATAACTCCAGTTCCAGAGATCCAACAGCCTCTTCTGTCCTCTGCGGGCATTGCACGACATGGGTGCAATTACCTACATGCGGGCAATACATGCATACACATAAAATAAAAATAAATTAAAAAAAAAAAAAAAAGAAGTTAAACCCAAGAGCCAGGAATGGTGGTGCACACCTTTATCCCAGAGGTAGGCCAGCCTGGTCTACATAATGAGTTTCAGGCCAGCTGCTGGGGCTACAGGGACACCATCTCTTAAAAAAAATAAAAAAAAAGAAGAGGCCAGGTGTCATGACAGATATCTTTAATCCCAGCACTTGGAGGCAGAGGCAGGCAGATCTCTGGAAGTTCCAGGCCAGTCTGGCCTCAATAGCGAGTTCAGTCAGCTGGGGCTACAAGACTGCCCTCCTGCCCACCAAAAAGGCAAAACATGTTCAATGCTTGTTTTTCCCAATTACACTAGAAAAATCTTACAGTAACATATAAAATATTATTCATTAAGTCATGGGAAACCAAGAATGTGCCCTTCTTTAAAAATGTGTTTATTCATTTATCTGTATGAGTATTTAGTGTGCATGTAAGTATGCCACATGGGTGCAATGCCTGCAGAGGCCGGAAGAGAGAACTGGAGTTACAAATAATTGTTTGCTGCCATATGGATAATGGGAACTGAATCCAGGTCCTCTGCAACAGAAGCCAGGAAACATTCATTCGTCCATTCATTCATTCATTCATTCATTCGTGTGTGTGAATGATGTGCATATGGAGATCAGAGGACAACTTACAGTTCTCGCCTACTATGTCAGAGCTGGGAATGGATCTCAGGTTGTCAGGATTGGCTAGCAAGTATCCTAACACACTGAGCCATTAAAGTAACTACAGGTACGGCTGGAGAGATGGCTCAGCAGTTAAGAGTGCATACTGCTCTTGGAGAGAATCCAGTTCAGTTCCCAGCACTCTGGTCAACTGGCTCACAACCTCTTACAACTCCAATTCCAGAGGATCTGTCACCTCTGCCCTCCATAGGCACTGGAATCATGTGCACAAGCCAACACATATACATAATTTAAAAAATGTATAAAAAAGGGGCATTGACTTAGGATTAAAGTATTTGAAATGGCAGCACGAGGATGTGAACTCCCCAGCACCTATGTGGAAAGCTGGAAACTGGTGTGTGTTTATAATCTCAGTACTGGGGAGGCAGAGACAGGAGCATCTCTGGGTATTGTTGGCCAGCCAGTCTAGTCAAATCAGAGCCAATTCAGGCTCAGTGAAAGACCTTGTTTCAAAATACAGTGTGTAGGGCTGGCTAGAAAGCCCAGCAGGTAAAGCACTTGCTATCAAGTGTGAGGACCAGAGCCTGGATCCCGAGAACTCACATAAAAGCTGGGCGGGATTGGTGACTGATTATAAATCTTGGCACAGAGGTGACAAAAGAAAAGAGATCTCAGGAGCAAGCAGACTAGCTAGAAGAGCTGGATTTGGTGAACTACAATTCAGAGAACCTGCCTCATAAAGTAGTGATGAACAAGGAACGACCCTGATATCCACCTCTAGCCTCTACACATACATACACATGAATACATAGAAATGAAACAAATAAGAAACATAAAGGAACCAAATGTCAATTCACTTATGAGTTTACTCTGGGCTACTTCACCATTGTTCTAACCAAATACATTCATACACAGAAATTCAGTAAGGCAATTAAAATCACTGATTATCATTATCAGTGTATGTAATGTGTATAGGTGCTGTGACGGAGCGGTGCTTTGTTGTGAGTGTGGAAGTCAAAGGACAGCTTTTGGGAGTTGGTTCTCTACTTCCACTGTGGACTCCAGGGATCAAACTTAGGTCATCAAGCTGATGTGACAAGCATTTTTACCCATCTCACCAGCCCAGCAAGGTAATTTCTACGCACAAAATCTTTACATATTTGAGGAAGGAACTGAACATGATCCAGTGTGGTTACTTAGTGAAAATTCTATTTCAGTGCCCCTAATTCTCTCCCTTTTCTCATTTACTTAAAACTGAGTTAAGGGACTAGTGAGATGATTCAGTGGTTAAGAGAGTTTGCTGCTCTTCCAGAAGACCCAAGTTCAGTTCCCAGCCCAACACTGACATATGGTGGCTCATGACCATCTGCAACTCCAGCTCTAAGGGATCCAACACCTTCTGCCTCTGCCGGCACCCACATGCAAGTTGCAGACAGACAGACAGACACACAGGCACACACACAAAACATGGAGTTAATATCACCTATCATACATGGTTGTGAAGTAAAAGAACTTTGTAAAAAATTAAGTAGCAGGGCTGGGGAGATAGCTTAGTCAGTAATATTAGGATGCCATACAAGTACAAGGATCCCCAGCACCTTCACTTAAAAAACAAACAAACAAACAAACAAACAAACAAACAAACCAACCCATAAAAACCCAGCAGGGCATAGTGGCAATGCTACATACTTGTATACCCAATGGGAGGATCCCCACAGAAGACCCTCAGGTCTTAGTGTAAGACTCTGGCTCAAAACACGGTTTAAAAAAACAAACACACATCTCTCACAATGTCCTGTAATTGTGGTGGGTCACCTGTCCTCTTGATCAAGGAGGCCGAGACCCCACCAGATGGACTTGAACCAGTGTCCAGTCTACAAAGAGGAGGGTCAACACAGAGGAATCACTTCCTCCATGCTTCCAAGCGAAGCGAACCATGGTCAAGCAGGACCTTTGACTTATCTTCACATAGGCGGAACTGGTAAAAGAAAGGAGCCAGGGGCTCCTCCCAAGCCCATGTGACCCCCAAGGAACAGATCCTCAAACAATCTTAAGAGTGAAAATGAATAGGTTTATCAGGGCCAACTGTATGGCCTTAAACACCCAAAAGGAAAGTATAGCCAAAGATTAAAGGGGTCAATATAATTTCTTAAGCGTCCATACACATAGCTAAAGGCTACATAACAAGCAAGAATGCCAGATAGTAGATACCTTCTTTTGAGTTGTTGGCCAGGGTGGCCAAAGGGACTCCCAGATAGTGACCCGACATAGAACTGGGAAAATGAACAGCAGACCCCAATCTTATCTAAAGGAATATTGACAACTGGTTGCTGCTAGAAGAGGAACAGCTGACCTTCCTAAACAAAGACCTCTAGATAGGCTGACTAGATTACAAAACAAACAAACAAACTCCAATGGGGATGGGTGCTGAAGAACAACACCTGAGGCTGACATCTGGTTTCCACAAACATGTATATGTGCACCTGCACAAAAACGCACACCCCAACAAGGAAGTCAAAGTGTGGGCTGTCTAGTAATGAGATTACCTTCACATCGTTATTTCCCACAGCAATTCCTATCTCTGCAAGGTCTTTTAGCAGCGATGCCATCATCTCAGCTGCTCGTTTCTTCTGGTGGTTGGTCATCTCCTTAAGCTTCTGAAGCTCAGCATCAATACTTGCTAATGTTGCCTAACAAGAATGGGAAACAAGTATAGATGAAACTCATTTCAAATGCTCATCACAGTCATTACAAATCCCACCCTGTATTTTCTGCTTTCAGATTCTTGATCAATACTGAATTATGGCACAGGTTCCAGTTCAACAAACATCTCACGCTATATAAAGTAGGCATATTACATTCTTAGACTCCAGTCAAACAGGTATATAGACTATACTAATTCATTAAATTCCTGAGACTGGATATTTTCTACCTAGAACTGGGAACCCTCAATATTAATTAGACACAATTATCATCTACTATATTTGAGTCTTAAAATTAGTTTGAGCAAATTTAAAGTTGGGATAGAACTCCTTTCCCCAGGGTAAGCATGCTTCCTTCATCTATTCTGTACATGCTCACTGAAAAGAGTACACTCTATATTTATGACTACTTTTTAAAAAAAATTTTTGAGACAGTCTTATTATGTAGACCAGGCTGTCCTTGACCCCAGAGATTCGCCTGCCTCTGCCTTCTGTGTGCTGGGATTAAAGGCACACACCACCACGCTCAGCCTCTTTACTATTATTTTTGTTTTGAGACAGGGTCTCACTATGTAGTCCTGATTAGCTTGGAAATCCTTATGTAGACCATCTAGCCTTGTCCTCAGAGATCTACCTGCCTCTGCCTCCAGAGCACTGGGATTAAAGGTATGTATCATCATGCCCGGCCGTATTACTTACTACTTTTAATACTATGATATAAGCAATTATCTAGGCGCTGATGATGAAGTGATACAACTGAGTTTAATTACTCCTAACTGTACATTTAAATAATAGCCGGTATATAAGCTACAAAGTCAACTCAATTTGGCCCAAATTAAAAAGATATATCAAATAACGTTTTTAATGCAACATAATGACTTTCAGTCAATATGTTTTATTATAGATGCCATCATTTCAGTTCCTTAAGTTTCTGGATATCAGTGAAGCCTATGTTCACCCAGTTTTCAACATAGTAGCCCTTCTGAAGTCTCATAGCATGTTTTTATCATAAATGTTTATTAAACTGCCAGACATTTTCTTTAACAACTGAACAATAATATTGTTTAAATGTATAGCCAACAATGTAGCGCTTATTTCAGCTCCACATCTGAACTCAACTACAAATGCCGTAAACACCAAAACCAGTAAATAACTTAGAGTTCTAAGATTCACCTACTGTTTTACCAAATAGCACTCAGGTTTGCTACAAGTGCAACTTGGGAAGAATTACGATGTTCTTAGATACACATGGCAATACATTACGACACCATTGTTAACATTGGAGATTAAAAATGGAAAATGAAATTTCCAGGAGTGGTGGCACACGCCTTTAATCCTAACACTTGGGAGGCAGAGGCAGGCAGATCTTTGTGAGTTTGAGGCCAGCCTGGTCTACATAATGAGTTCCAGGCCAGTTGGGGCTACAAGGAGACCCTGTCTCAAAAGGACAAAAAAAAAAAAAAAAAAAGGAAAATGAAGCCTTTAATCCCAGCTATTGGGAGGCAGAAACAGACTGATCTTTGTGAGAATGAGGCCAGCACAGTCTCCATAGGAGTTCCAGGTCAACTGGGGCTACAGGGAGACTAGTAAACCTTTCAGAGCTGCTATTTCATAGTGCTGACTACTTTCAGACAAGTGAGCACAAATAAGAGATGATACATAGGTGCTGGTCCTGATTGCAACTCTAAGAATTCATTTCTAAGGAGGAAGCTAGTGTTAGTAACCAGCAAAACATGAGAGCAGTGCTGAAATCATAATCACCAGGAGGTTGGCAATCTCTGCCTTACAGCAAATAAGTCTCCACCTATTGCAGAACCTACTATATTGCATTTCCTTCTTCCCTCCCTTTCTCCCTTTTGGCTTTTCTAAGACAAGACCTCATCACACAGCCCTGGCTGGCCTAGAACTTGCAGTGATCCTCCTCCCTCTGCCTCTGAGTACTAGGATTATAAATATGTGCCACAACTTCTGGCCACTTTTTACTTTTTATGCCTTTATTAGTTTGTAGTTTGAACAATCATCTAATAGCCTTACTATAATACACACTAGTGTTTTTTTCCCTTTTAACATTAGGAACAGTCATTATCTTTTAAATTAACATTTAAATCACACAGCAATATGCCTTTAGGAACCAAAAATGTAACAGTCTTTCTCTACCTCCAAGACTTCATATATAAAAGTGAGGTTGATATCAGAGTCTTAAGAACTAATGCTACCAGTATCTTATGTTTATATGTGAATAACTTTTCAACAAACATTACTTGTACTTAAGTAGTAAGAAAGAAAACAAAGGCAGGTATGGTGGCATACACCTTTAATCCCGGCACTTAGGAGGCAAAGGCATGTGAATGTCTGTGTGAGTTTAAGACCAGTCTGGTCTACACAGTGAGTTCCAGGCCAGTCAAGGCTACACAATGAGACCCTGCCTAAAAAGAAAGAAAGAGAGAAACAAAATCTTACAGATTTTTGATTCAGTTCATCACTAAGCAGCTCGTATTCCTTAGTTTTGTCTTCAACTTCCTGAGACTTCTGATCATAATTAACGGCCAGTTCCTCCAAGGCCTGTAAGACTTCTTTTACTTCTTCTTTAGAGGCATCATTTTCTGCTTGAAGGCGATTCAGCTCAGCTTGCATGTTGTCTTGATCCCTTCTGGTTGATGCCAGAAGCTGTATAAAAGTAAAACAGTTATCAGAACTAAAATACTCATTTGTTTCACAATCTACAAAACATGAGGGAAACGAAAAGTACATGTTATCAAAGGTGCTAATATTTACTTATTCAACAGATAGATTCATGAATAGCATGCACAAAAACCAATTAGAATAGTTATTTAAAAACTTAGATTTGTGGGACTGGAGAGATGGCTCAGCGGTTAAGAGCACTGGCTGTTCTTGCAGAAGGCTGGAGTTTGAATCTCAACACCTACATGGCAGCTGACAACTGTCCATAACTCCAGTTCCAGGGGATCTTACACCCTCTTCTGGCCTCCATGGGCACTGCACACACAGGTGCACTTTACATACATGCAGACAATACATGCATACACATAAAATAAAAATAATAAATTTTAAAAAAAAACCAAAAACTTAGATTTGGGGCTAGAGAGATGGCTCAGTGGTTAAGGGCACTGGTTGCTCTTGCAGAGAACTCATGTGTAGATCCCTGTACCCACACAGCAACTAACTCCAGTTCCAGGGGATCTGACATCCTTCTGGCTTCTACAGGCATTGCACGATTTGTGTGTACTTACATACAAGCAAGCAAAACACTCATACACATAAAATAAAAATAAAGGGCTGGAGAAATGGCTCAGTAGTTAAGAGCCTGGTTGCTCTTGTAGAGAACAGGAGTTCAGTTCCCAGGACCCAAAAGGTGGCTAGCAACTGTCCCTAATTCCAGTTCCAGGGGATCTGATGTCCTCTTTTGGCCTCTGTGGGCATTGCATGCATGGGTGTACTTACATACATGCACACAAAACACTTATAAAATAAGAAACTTTAAAACTTAAGATTTGCTTTAGGATATTAAGGGTGGCATCTTAGCTATGCCTAAAATAATGGTTTCCCTCATACATGGAAGGAAGGGAGGGAGGGAGGAAGGAAGTGAAGAAGGGAGGGAAGGGAGGGAGGGAGGGTCAGGCTGGTGGCATACACCTTTTATCTCAGCACCTGGGAGGCAGAGGCAGGCAAATCTCTGAGAGAAAGAGGCCAGCCTGGTTTACATAGTGAGTTCCAGGCCAGCTGGGGCCTGTCTCAAAAAACAGACAGTTTCAGTATATAAAATTTGAACTGCAGGGGGGGAGGATGGTGAGATGGCTCAGTAGTTGCTCCTCTGGAGAACCTGGAACTGAACCAGCACTGGGGCTAAAAACCATCTGTACGTCTAGTTACAGGAGATTCAATGCCCTCTTCTGACTTCCAAAGGCATTGTATGCAGGTGGTACACTTACATGCTGACAAAACACTTGTACACATAAAATAAAAACCAGTAAAGATAAATAATTATAAAAGGAACTGCAGGGAAAACAAAGAACTAGTCAGGGGGTTACAGCAACCACCCACGTCAGTGGTTTTTCAGTAGAGACATTTAGAAATGTGTGGAATGTTAGTGATGGCTATCAATAACATTTTAAAGAATAGGGATCAGGAATGCTCTATGTCCTATAGTACACAGAACAGAAAAATTATCCAACTCAGCCGGGTGTGGTGGCACATGCCTGTAGTCCCAGCACTTGGGAGGCAGAGGCAGGCAGATCTCTGTGAGTTCAAGGCCAGCCTGGTCTACATAGTGAGTACCAGGCCGGCTGGGGCTACAGGGAGACCCTGTCTCAAAAACACCAAAAAAAATCCAACTCAAAATGCCAACAGAAAAGAGTCTCTTCAAGAAAAATGCTATAGTTGGAGTTAAGTATAAAGATGACACAAGCCTGGTACCGTGCACCAGGAGGCTAAGGCAGGAATACAGAGAATCTGGGGCCAGCTTGGGCTCAATGTTGAGTTCTAGACCCAATAAACAGCAAGATGCTGTTCCAATAATTCAAAAAGATGAACTGACCAGAACTGATTTAACTGACAATGGGGTATTTCTTTCTTACTGAAGCGTATAACCTTTTCTATTCCCTCAACCCCTCAAAAATCCTAAAATAGGAATCCTTTCTCTCCCCGCCACCCCCCAAATTATCCACAATATACTAGGTGACATAAAATGAAAATCAAGCCCAGTGTGGTACATGCTTTTAATCCCAGCACTTAGAAGGCAGAGGCAGGAAGGTCTCTGTGAGTTCTAGGCCAGCTGGTGCTACAGGGAGACCCTGTCTCAAAAAAAAAAAAAAAAAAAAAAAAAAAAAGAAAAGAAAAAAATAGAAAAAAAAGAGAATCCAAACTAGATGAGAGGAAATGAGAAGGACTGAGAAGAAAGGAGCCAAAAATGTAGAAAGGGGAAAACAGGGTGAAGAGGCTAAGTACACTTATTCCTGTGATAGTCTCATTTCCACAAACAGTTACATAGAAAATTAGACAATTACTAATAACAAAGTCAGTGTGTTCAGAAATCGGTTTTTTTTTCTTTAATAATGCTTTAGACCCAGCTTCTTAAATTGTGAGTCATAAACCCATAAAGGGCTATGAAAAATTTAGCAACAGTGAAAGGTTTCTAAGCAATCACAGATCAAAGGGTTAATTAAATTGTGTTAGAACATTTGATTTTAAAAACCACTGTTTGAGTTACTGATTTAAGATTCATGTGCTCAATGAATTTTGGCTTGGAAGACTAAGGCAGAATTTCCAACAATTGCTAAGATAGTCCTAAGTACACTTCTGCCATTTTATACTACAAATTTATGCCAAATGGCAGTCTTAGCACTGCTGATAATAAAAATCAAGATACCCAACAACTTTGAAAAATGTTTTATGTTTTACAATATGAAGTTTTCAGCCAAGATTTCTTTATGTAAAAATGAAGCACTTATCTCATTAATATGTAAATTTTCTTTCATCTTTATTATTCTAGAATAAATATCTTTATGATTACCAGTAAACATTTGACTTGTATACCTATCATATATATATATATCCAAGTCATGAACAGAAAAAATTTACAAAACCCAGGTTTAGACCCATATTTTAAACACAATAAGAGAATATGTTTACTTATTCCCTCCTTTATGTATAAATACTTTTCATTAGGAGAAGTCTTCCACATCAGTAAGAAGTATTTGGAGAGGAAGGTGATAAAAAGCCTAATACTTCAAGTAAACTACAAGACAGTTCAACAGACACATGGTCAAGTATTCTGCTGTTTTTGAGGCAGGGTCTCATTGTGTAGCCCTTGTTGGCCTAACTGAATTTCCCGGCTCCAACATCCTCATTTCTGGGATTATAGCTGTATGCCACCACACTTGACAAAAATAAATGTTTGGGTTTGTTTGTTTCTGAGACAAGCAAGTCTGCCTACATAGCTCTGGCTGGCTTGGCACTCACTATGTAAACCAGGTTGGCCTTGAATTCCTAGAGATCTGCCTGCCTCAGCTTCCTGAGCACCACCACACCCCGAGAAAAATAAGTGTTTTTTGAAAACTTTCTTCTCCCCTTCAGATCAGAGGAAACTCAAGCTTTCAAACCAAACCAAATAATGAAAAACACCTTAAAGAAGAAATCAATCTCTGCTTCAATCCAAGCAAGAATGACTCATAGGACATCTACAACCAAGCATGCACACATTCAAAACTTTAAATTTGTAGTATTTACCACCACAATCTGAACTCCACAGACTCCTTTTTTTTTTCTTTTGTCTTTTTAAGACACAGACTCCTTTATCTTAAGATGGTAACAAACAATAAAGCTGTTTTGGAAGCATTAAACTTACCTCTTCCTGATCCAACATTTGTGTCTTTAATTTCTCCACCAGTTGACTCTGTTGATTAATCTCTTCATCCTAAAAATGTTAAAGTATCCAGTTAACAAAGGAGATAACAAATTGGGTATTTCCCAGTATTGATTTTGACTTAACTAATCCTCCAAAATATTTCAAAATAATTTCCCAAAATTCAACACAGTTTAAATCTCCTAAGAATTTTTTTTTTGGGGGGGGGGTCTTTTTGAGACAGGTCTCCCTGTAGCTCCAGCTGGCCTGGAACTCGCTATGTAGACCAGGCTGGCCTTGAACTCACAAAGATCTGCCTGCCTCTGCCTCCCGAGTGCTGGGATTAAAGGCTGCGCCACCATGCCTGCCTTCTCCTTAGAAATTTTTGAAATGGAAGGAATTTCAGTTATTAATAATGGTAGTAACATACAACAAAGAAAAAGGTGTAAGTTTATGAAATCCATTCATTAAATCCTTTAAAGCTAGAAACAATGCCTCATTTAAAGCTATCACTGAAAACAATGGTCATGTCCCTTCAAACTCCAAAATTTCTATTTTTACTGTTCTTATTCATGCCTTTCTGTTAAGTTCACAATTTGCTATTTTCCATACTATTCACAATACTAATTTAAGGAAGACAGTATTTTGTCTGTATTCTTTTTCCTTTTGTTTCTTCTTTTATTAGGTTCCTCAGATCCCTAACTAAGTAGTTGTTTCATTATGATTCTACAATGATCCAAGGCCAAGTTTTCCGGGAAAGTTGTGTTTGCTTGTTTTTCAAAGGGCTGGAGTCAAAAGCTAGGCAAGTGGCATGCTAGAGCTCTACCACTGAGGCATGTTCTGGTTTTTGTTTTGAGATAGTGTCTCACTATGTATCTCCAGCTGGCCTCAATTTGTGATCCTCCTGCATTAGTTTCTTGAGTTCTAGGATTACAAGCATGCTCTACCATTACCAAGCAGAAAGTTTGTTTAGTTTATAAAAGAAAAGATATGCCTTCATATAGTTTCCACATAGAACTGTAATTTTAATTCCAACCCCTGGTGGTTGCAATAGAACCCAGGGCCCATGCTAAGCAAATGTTCTACTACTTAGCTACATCTCCAGCCCTTGAAGTCAGCTTGCTCCCTCCCTCCCTCCCTCCGTCCCTCCCTCCCTAATTTTTGTATTTTTATTTTATGTGAGTGTATTGCCTGAATGTATATAAGTACACCCATGTCATGCAACACCCGTTGAAGTCAGAAGAGGGCATCAAATATCCAGGAACTGGAGTTATGAACAGTTGTTAGTTGCCATGTGGGTGCTAGGAATCCAACCCAGTCTTCTGCAAGAGCAGCCAGTGCTCTTAACCACTGAGCCATCTCTCTAGCCCCAAAGTCGGCATTTATACTTTATGTCAATATGATTTCCCTGCTCCCTAACATTACCACAGTTTTTCGAGACATGGTCTATCTTGACTGGCTTGAAATCACTATATAACCAAGGCTATTTGTGCCTTCACCTCCTACGTGTTGAGATTACTGAATGTACCAACACTCTATACAATGATCTCTAAAAGCTAACAGAAATAAAGATGTACATAAATTATGAATCACAAGGAATCTTAATAATGAAATTCAATAAAGCCCATAATAAAAATACTAATGTCAGTGCATTTTATTTTAATTTTTACTTTAAAATTTTTATGTAACTATTTTGCTTGCATATAGGTAGTGCACCACAAGTGTGCTTAGTGCCCGAGAAGGCCAAAGAGGGCAATGGATCCTAGAATTGGGGTTACAGATCTGCTATGTGAGTGCTGGGAACTAAATCTAGATCGTTCCATAAGAGTAGTATGTGCTCTTAATGACTGAAGCTCTTCCAGCCCAGTCAATAGCATTTTAAAACAAAACAGACAAACTTAAAGCAACAGTATCTACCTTGTCATCAAGCTGCTTGTACAATTTAGCAATTTCCTCTTCACACTTTCTTCTTTCAGCATCAGTAAAACTTCCGGCCACTCCAATTGTGGCTGCTGGTTTATCATTGGTAATAGTAATATCTTTATCTGCTGTGAAAGCTTCCAAATTGGCTTTCTCTTTGTCAAACTGCTCATCAATAGGCACTGTCTCCCCTAAAATAAGACAGTAAAATGGTTAATAAAAATGTGCATGGCCCAAACTAATGTTCGTTCTTTTCCCTCTGAATGTACCCTCTTCTCTTTGACTGTCAGCACTCCCAGCTGCCACTTTCAGCTCCAGGCTTTGTTTGACCTTTTATTATTATTATTATTATTATTATTATTATTATTATTATTATTATTATTATTTTAAATTTCATGTGTATGAATATACTACCTGCATGTGTGTAAGTGCACCCATGTCATACAATGCCTGCGGAGGTCAGAAGAGGGCATTGGAGCCCCTGGAATTGGAGTTATAGACAGTTGTTAGTCACCATATGGGTGCTGGGATTCAAACCCAGGTCTTCTGCCAAGAGCAGCTACTGCTCTTAACAGCTGAGCCATCTCTCTAGCCCTTGTTTGGCCTTTAAAATTTACTTCAATTTCTGTTCAGTTTTCTATTCTGGTCACTGTTTTTCTCATTTCTTTCAATTCTCTCTTTGTACTTCCCATATTTCAGAGCTTGCATAAAATAATTACTCTGGATTTTCTGGTGGGTCCCTCATCTCCATTTCCTTAGGGTCAATCATTGGCACTTTATTTTAAAACTTTGGTGGTACCCTCCTTCCCTGGATGATCCTTACGGTGTCTGAGCATTTGAAAAAGTCTTTGCAGGATTGTATTTGTCCAGGAAGGCCAATCAATAAGCCCACCTGGAGTTCTGGGAAGAAGGTCATGCATGGTTCTGAAGCCCAGGACTTCTGCAATGGTATAGCACTGAGAACTGCCTGCTGCTGAAGGCTGTCCAAACCCTGGGACTGCTGATGTTGGAGAGGGTCATTTGGCAGGTATACTGCCTAGGGCTGCAAGTTCTAACTTGAAACTGAGGTGGGACTGGAGGCTCAGTCTGTAGGCCATCTGCATAGAGTATGGAGCAGCTGGACATACTGGGTGACATCCCAGGCTTACTTTCCTTTCTTTCTCCCTATCTGGGGTTAGGGATAGGGTGACGTAAGTTATCTAAAAGTGTCCTTCTTACCCTCTTCAATGAAGTACTATCATTTATTATCCTACAAGCAAGTTCTACTGCTCACCTGCTTCCTCTTGTGTATTTTTGTGCAGTTCCATTTTACCATCTTGCTTTGTTTCTCCTTCTTATGCAATTATAGCAACCCTTAACAGGGCTCTGTCTACCCTGTTCTGATTTGTTCGCTTGTTTTTGAGATAGGTTCTTGCCATGTAGCCCAAGCTGGCCTTACACTTGTGAAATCATCCTACTTCAGCCTCCTAAATTTTGGCATTTTACATAATAGCCAGCACATCTGACAAGCTTTTACTTTTGCTGTTTTTTTTTTTTTTGATACGAGGTGCTGTTATGCAACTCAGACCTGCGCTCGTTCTCCCCCTACTTCCCAAGTGCTAGGAGTATAGGCATGCACCACCAAGTTCTGTCTGACCTGAGTATCTGGAACTTCCTTCCATCCTAACACCTTTGAAATCCAGGCATCAAACCTGGTTATTTTACAGATTCCTCCCAAATGCAGAACTTCATTACACTGTGGCATCTATGGCTCTATACTTACCATTTTAGGTAAAATAAAATTTAAATACCAGATCTTTTCATGTTTATTTAAAAACCCTTAAATGCTTAAAAGCTGAAAATAGATAGGCCTTATTTTCATTTACAGTCATATAAAAAAATCTCAAGTATGGAGAGCTGCCCTAGTTGGCACACTGAAATGACAAATTTGTAGTCATTACCATTACGCCATCGGTTGAGTTCATTTTCAAGCCACTGAATGGTGTTCCGCAGAGTCTTATTTTTCTCTTTTTCTTTTTCATACTTCTTTTTCCACTGTTCTGCAGTTAATTCTACATTGACACAGACTGTGTTCTTAATTGTTTTGGCCCTAAGAGATGCAATGACGGAAAAGATGGTATAATTAAAGAGATGTAATTAAAGAGAAAGGGATACGACTAAAATTATTTTAAATTGGCATATCTATTTAATATATAAATACACAGCTAAGTAATAAATCGACCAGGACTGTCTAGTTTTCTCACCAAACACCAAAACCTAATGTGAATAGTATAGTGCTTATTTACAACTCAAACTAAATTTGAGTCAGCCCAAAATTGCTGGTTAAAACAAACAAAACAACTAAGAGCATATATTTACTTTTCCTGTTCATTTGCAAGGTTGAGCTAAGAAAACAAGTATCATTGTAGGTCTAAAATAAGTATTGATTTTCCCAGAATGACCATTTCTCTCTCTCTCTCTCTCTTTTTTTTTTTTTTGAAGCTTTAGGACATTTTATTAGAATTGAAGGGAAAAAAATCCTCAGAGCAGTCAAGCTGTAAATCTCAGTAGCTACCTTGAAGAGGAGTGGCGGGGAGAAGGAGAAAAGAGCGACCATTTCTTATAAAGTACCTGAGCCTGTTGAGTACGTCAGCAGGCTTCACAAAGGGTCATTTCATTTCTGTTACTTCATTATCTGATTCAAAGGCTTATTTTCATCAACGGTAAATTAAACTCCCACGTAAATTTGACTAGAATTTACCATTTAATATGTATGAGAACCTATATATTATCAGTCTAAAATATGACTCTAGCTTATATGAACTGTCTCCTCATTCAAAAGTAGAGGCTCTAGCGCTCTGACAATGTGTGTGGATTTGAATAGCAGCTCTCTGACATTAATAAACTCAACACACGTCTGATAGGTTTTGTATCTGTCAACAAACCTTTGACCAAACAAGAGTGTAGATTTCGTTTCAGACTCATTATATGATGATGGAGAGCAACAAATGACTATGGTGGTTCTACAGTTGCCACCTAATGAGTCTTGGAGAATTCTTGTCATTTTACTGTCTCGATATGGAACATATGTCTGCATACAAAAACAAAGAAAACAAAAAATCAAGTTTCTATACAATAAAATGTGTTATATAAACATGCTACCTTAAACTTTTAAGCTATTTCGGGGTTTGTTTGCTTAATGTAGGGTCTGCTTAATGTAGATTGGTCTTGACCTCATCATTTAGGTGAGGAAGGTCCCTGAATTCTTGATCATCCTGCTTCCACTGGATTATAGATACACTCTACCATGTCTAGTTATTTCAGTCATTTTAACAACTTGATGTTAAGATGGTAACTAGTATATACATTTCAATACTAAAATTTTTTAATTAAAAAAAATTTTATTATTTTATGTGTATGAATGTATAGCACCTGTGTCCTGCAATGCCTGCAGATGTCAGAAAAGGGCATCAGATCCTCTGAAACTGGAGCTGCAGACATGCCACAAAATGGGTGCTGGGAATAGAATCAAGATCCTCTGCAAGAGCAGCCAGTACTCTTAACCACTGAGTCATCTCTCCAACCCCAATACTAAAATGTTTGTTGTTGTTTGTTTTGGTGTTTTTGAGACAGGGTCTCCCTGTAGCCCCAGCTGGCTTGGAATTCCCTACAAAGACCAGGCTGGTCTCGAACTCACAAAGATTCGCCTGCCTCCATCTCCTGAGTGCTGGTATTAAAGGTGTGCAACACCATACCCAGCCTCCAATAATAAAATTCTTAAAAAGACAACATACATGCTGATTTGGTGAATCTTTCAGTCTCACATTCATGCACACATATGCTCTCTATTTAAATAATTACCAATAAAATAAAAGGAAATGGAAGATATGTCTACTCACACTACCCTCGGCCAAAGCAGAAATGACATTTCCAAGTGCAGAAAGTGACTTGTTGATGTTCTTGGCTTCGTCCAGCACAGCACCTTCGGCTCCAGTTTTACTAACCTATACATAATTAAACAGAATTGCAAGGTTAAGATAATTTCCTTTGTACTTTCCAGAAAGTCATCCACAAACAGCATGGTTAAATTACAAGGAAAAGGGCATTCACAGTAACGTGCTAATAAACTCCTCAAGTACCCTTTACCCTTCTAAGAACTTGGCCAAACTAGCTGTAGAAGAATGTGATTAAAGAGATATTAAACTATACTTTTAGCATGTGCTTTTAAAAATAACCAAATGACATGTAAATTTGAAGTTTTCATTAATTACTCAGTCTCTTACATTATGGAAAAGAGAAACCTAAAATTATATAAATTGTAATGTAAATGCTGTAACTGCTAAAAATAGACTTTTAAAATACTACATAAGATAACTTGTGTACTTAAAGAAGTACACTAAATGCCTTCTAGAATTCACAAAATTAAAGTCTTTTATGGATTTGTATAAGACTTCTGGATACAGGGGACTAAGTACAACATTCTAAATCAGAAGAAATAAAATTAGCAAAACATCATAATGGCCACAGAAGTCCAAACAGAAACACTGAAATGTTCTGATTTTAATACAGACTAAAATTAGAATTATCCAAGACTGTAATAATGAAATAAGCATCCCAAAATAGGTACAGGTAACCCTCCTGTATCCATGGATTCAACTAGTCAAGGACAGAAAATATTTGGAAACAAACTGCCCTTGTACTGAACATGTACAGATGTTGTCTCTTGTTATTAGTCTCTAAACAATACAGTACAAAAACTATTTACATAGCCTTTATACTACATTAGGTATTACTAGAGATCTAGAGAAGACTACAGGTATACAGGAGGATATGTATAGGTTCTATGAAAACACTATGTCATTTTATAAAGGACTTGGGCACATGCAGATATTGGTATTCAGGAGAGATGGGTGGGAGTCACTACCCCCCCCCCAAAAACCAAACAAACAAAAAAACCCCACAGACACCAAAAGACAACTGTACAACCAAACTAGAAAGTTCTCAAAGAAAGTTAACATGAATACAGATAAACTAAAAGAGGGATGGAAAAATAAAAATTTATAATGGCGTATGTTGAACAAGTTGTTAATAAAAACATACATCTATTTCAAAGATAGTATCTACTGGTTAAATGAAACACCGTAAAACAACAGTGACCTGGATCAGAAAAATCAATTTACATTATCATATAGCACCGGCATTGACAGTTATAATTCTCAGATTACCAAATCCAACTTTACAAGTTTTCAAGATCCGATGATAAATGGTGCATAAGTCTCAATTCAACATAAATTTTACAGAAATACTTAACTGTCTATCAGAATACAAAGACTTTACCTTTTCACTACCAGCTAAATCAACCAGATAAAGCTTCCCACTCAGTTTTTGTTCCGTTTGTGTGTTCTCTTGTTTTACATTAATAAGAAATATACTGTGACTCCTAGAGCTATGTTCATTCATATCTGCAATGAAATTGATAAGCAATCATAAATACATTCTTTCACTAATAATTTCCCCTAAAACATTGTTTTATAAAGAAACATTAAAAAATTAACAAATAAGAAATTAATCAAATCCCCACACCTGACCTACACCCTAGCCAACATTAATAAATATTCTACTTACTTGTAACTGCTACATGTCTGTTGGATTTTCCTTCATCTATGGTATCCATAACTTCATCTGGACTACATACAAAGCGCTCTGTGCACCCCTATGAAATAATTTTTAAAGTGTTGTCAATATTCTTTAAAAATCTATTTCAGGGTTTTCTAAAACAACCATTCTTTTTTTCTAAGTACCTTTACATAGGGAACACGGTTTTTGTCTTCATGAACTGAAAGATTGGTCTTTGAAACTGGGGGAAAAAAAAAATTATGAGCAACATTATCCTAAACTCTAATACCAGCTGTGCAATAATACAATTAGTAGATTTCCCTCAGCAGCCCAACAACAGGAGGTGAACTTTCAAAAAATATCAAAGTATTGCTATCAAAAAGCAAGACCTTGGCTGGGCATTGGTGGTGCACGCCTTTAATCCCAGGACTTGGGAGGCCGACGCAGGCGGATCTCTGTGAGTTCAAGGCCAGCCTGGTCTACATAGTGAGTTCCAGGACAGCTGGGGCTACAGGGAGACCCTGTCTCAAAAAGACAAAAAAAAAAAAAGCAAGACCTTGTAGACATAGTAGATTAACTAGGAACCAACTTGACAGTATAGAAACTTAGGGTCCATCCCATCTTCTGTCACCCACATTCTACAAACAAGAGCAGTAAGCCTGATGAGTTCAATGATCTGCCTAAAGACGTATCTAAAAGCTGGGACTAAAATTCTGAGTTCAGTCTAATGCTAATCATTCCGTAACAAGTAACCCTATGACAGCAGCTCACTTTCCAATCCCCTCTCCTTACAGGGAGTCACCTTTTACTTCTCAGTAAACTGTTTGCCCTTCCCCCACCAAAACAAAGTACCCATATGTGTATGCTCTAAAAGAAGTTTTCCTACAGGCCCCAGCATATTCAACTAAAATGTCAAAAGAAAAACATTTCAATGTTCATTTCTTATAAAAGTTACTAAGAACTGGTCTCAAGCTACTACTAGAGGAGTAACAGGTACTATTTTAAAATTATTAGAGCAAGAGTTTAACTTACCATCTAATAGGTCCCTTATCTTATCCAAATATATTTCAAAATATGAAACCTAAAGGTTAAACAAATAAAAAAGATCAACCCACTGAAATTATAAAACAGCTTATTGACCAACTTAAGAAATATTTTTTAAACTTTTTATTTACTTTTATGTATATGAGTGTTATGCTTGCATGTGTGTAAGAGCACCTGTGTCAAGCAGTACCCACAGAGTACAGAAGAGAGCATCAAATCCCCCGGAACTGGAATTACAGATGGTTGTTAACAGATAATGTGGGTGCTGGGATTGAATTTGAATCTAGGTCTTCTGCAAGAACAGTCTTAACTGCTGAGCCATCTTCCAGCCTCCTTATTAAATACTGTAATGAGATTTAGGCACCAGATATTGTCTAGACCTGGACAAAGTTACAAATAAATCAGCCACAGTTCACATTCTAATAGGAGGACATAAATTAGCTAAGCTACTTAAATAGCTAAACATCAATTTTCATTACAAATCTTTACCTAGAATGAACCAGAACAGTTAAATGTTGTAGGAACCTTGACATTTTGTTTAACTAATTGCTTTATTTTATAGGGAAAAAGGCTAACAGCCTTATTTAACTTATTTAGAATCATCTAATGGTAGATGAACTAGAATCAATGTCTGGTAACTCTAATGATCCTTCAACTATAATATACTCCTAACAATTATTTTTAAATTGACTTTTAGAGTCAGGTGTGGTGGCATAAGCCTTTAATCCCAGCACTCAAGAGGCAGAGGCTAGTGGATCTCTGAGACTGCACCAGCCTGGTCTACATAGTAAGTTCCAGGCCAGCTGGGGCTGTAGGAGACGTGGTTTCAGAAACACAAAAAGAAAAAAGAAAAAAAAAAAAAAAAAAAAAAAAAGAAGAAAGCAACTAGCTTTTCCTATTTTTTTAGAAAAGCATTATTCAAACTTAAAAAACAAAACACAATCTTTCCAAAAGGAAATTTACCTTAATATGAAATTCCAAATTTTCATCCATCGAGTAAATATAATTAAAAATATCTTGCACAATTCTTGGAATAATTCCCATGCCTTCTGGATCATGCAGTTTACCCTGTACATAAAACAAAGTAGAATTCTTAACAAATTATAAGAGATAAAATATAAACAAAAACTGCATCTGTCAGGTGTGGTGGCACTAGTCTTTAATCCCAGCACTCAATTCTCTATGAGATCAAGGCCAGACTAGTCTACATAGCAAGTTCCATGACAGGTGGGGCTACAAGGAGACTGTCTCAAAAAGACCAAAAAACTTAAAATAAAAACTTTGAATCTATAATTTATAATTAATAGGATAAGCATTATGATAGACATTTTCTAGAAATAGCTTTATACATACTTGAAAATTTTTCAACTTTTTTGAAAATTATATGTAAAATTGGCTTTACCAATTTCTCTTAGCCCTTTATTTAAACTAGATTTGAATTATCCACACTTGTAAAAAAAAAAAAGACATTTGAAGATTGATTCCTTGCCATATAAACCTGCACTGTTCTTTCTACTTCAAATCAAATTGATGTAAATGCTAAGAATGTTTTTATTTCTATTACTTAATGAAAATGACTCAAAGTAAAGAGTCATTTACTTTATACAAGACATTCAGATAAATAAACATAGATGGCCTGTAGCACCACGCACATGCTATGTTCTAGAAGCAAAGTTAGAATGGGCTATATCTAGTATTAAAGAGCAGTACTGAGAACTGCGGGACAATCTCAGAAAAGTGTAGTGAGCATTTGGGAGGAGAGATTAATCACTTTAAAAAAAAGATTTTATTTTTTTATTTTTAATTAGGTGTATATGCATGTGTGTGGGTACTGTGTATGGGTGCCTGTGGAGGCCAGAGGCACTGGCTCCTCCTTTGAGCTGGACTTATAGGTGGTTGTGAGTCATCTAATGTGGGTGCTGGGAACTGAACTAGTTTTCCGAAGAGCAGTACTTGTGCCCTTAACCACTAAGTCATCTTTCCAGTACCTTATCCCTTCCAGTACCATCTAAATTTTCCCACATCACAGCATGACAGAAAATTCCTGTTTAATTCTAAAATGTTCCTTATTTTATAGTTATACTGACCAATAAGACAAAAACTCTCTAATATAAAATATAGGTATTCAAGCTCAAGGAACTAATTAGATGGTATTATTTGTGTATCATTTGTATGAGGAAAAGCAATGAAGAGCAAATAAAAGATGTTTAAGCACAGCAAATTAACTACAAGTAATGAATGAATGGATGACTATCTGTGCTGCAGACCACAGTCAAGCAAATTATAAAACATTACCTCCATGGTGTGGGTCTTCCCTGATGATGTTTGTCCATATGCAAATATTGTTCCATTGTACCCCTCAAGAACATCTATGAGGAAACAAGAGATGGCATACTTCAGGGATTTTTTTTTTCTCCTTTGAGTAATGTTCTCATACTAAAGTACTTAAGAATCCATCAAAGTTTAATATGTTTATAAAAACACTAAAAAAATACACAACATATTTAATAGTAATTTTCTTAGTGATGATCCATTCGAGCAGTATTTTCTCAAGCCTAGATTACTTTCTGTATTCAATTAAGAAACAAATTTTAAGCATCAGTGCTTAAAATCTATCTCCTATCAATATAGATTCAAATTTTCATTTCATTTTACTTCAAAGCTTTGAATACTAAAAGGAAAAGGCCTCTACCAAATAATGCACACCTATGAATACATTTTTAGAAACAGGTGTTTCTAATTGTAGGCTAATCCCAAAATCTTCCTCAACATCAATGATTAGGATGTTTCTAAGAAATTACAAAAATATTTTTACTAGTCCTTGGGGTACCCCAAGAACACTAACATATAAAAAGAATCTTGTTTTGATTTTAAGGCAGGGTCTCACTATGCTGCCCTGGCTAGCCTCAAACTCAGAGAGATCCTCCTGCCCCCACCTCCTGAGTGCTGGGACCAAAGATATGGGTCACCATGCCCAGCAAGAATCTTCTTTTATTGGGTTGAAGGAGGTAATGAAGAGAATATGAGTGAACAATGCAACCTTTTGCTGTCCAATGTTCAGGATTTTAGTTGGGTTTTGGTGCCAAAAAGGGTACTATGAAATTATGTTCCACACGATGCCAAAATGAAAAAAGAACTCTTGGAAATTGCAGGCAGTAAAGTGGAAAATAAAGCAATAAGCAGGGCAGCTGGGGTGGTTCGGCTGTTTTGTTTTGTTTGCAGGGCTAGGCATTTTTAAAAGGCCTTGCCAATACTAGGCAACTGCCACTGAGCAATACTCCCAGCTCCTACCTATTTGATCGTTTTAAAAACGAAAAAAAAGTCCTAACATAGAGCACATTGATTTCCTATAGAGATATTAATTTTAAAACGGCTTTACAGTCTGGTGAGGTGATATACGCCTATCATCACAACATCTGAACATCAGAGGATTAGAAGTTCAAGGCTAACATGGGCTACACAGAGTTCAAGGCCATTCTTGGCTATACAGAACTCAGGGCTAGCCTGGGCTATGAGATCTTTGAGACAGAAGGGGTGGGGAAAGAAGGCCCCACTATTTTCTTCTCTTCAAAGATTTTTTTTTAAGAGACTCCAAACATTTGAAACTTCCTTTCAAAGCCCTTTTCAGTTTTTTCTGTTATTCTTTGTTTTACTTTTGGCAATACTGAAGACTGAACCAAGGGCCTTGTGTATACCAGGCAAGTGCTGAGCTACAGTCCCCAAAGCCTTTTGATTTCAGGCTGTTAGTCTTTTTTGTTTTCTCATTAGGGGTTAAAAAACATAGAGCCTTGGGCATGGCAGACTATCTCAACCCCCCCCCCCCTTTCTGAAGGGGAACAGTACCATTGTATGAGTCACATTCATAATAAATGGAAAGGCAACACCTCTACAAGTAATTCTGAAGAAATGGGGCAAACAGGACCAGACACATTCCAAGTCTCTTGTACACAATCATTCAAAATAGGGTCTATGTCAACTCCCTTGCTTAAGATCTTTTAACCAATCCCATACCTAAGCATACAATTCAGTGCTTTTTTAAAGGTGCTTTCACAATATGATCAATTATTACCCTGCTGCTTCACCATAGGTACTAGGCAAACATCTGTAGGTAAATGTCTATATGATACAGCACATTGTAAAACTATATAGTATACAAGGACTCTTAGAACAATAAATGCACATAGGTAACGCATCTAAGACTTAAAGCACAACTTGTCAAGTTTCATATTATTACAGAGACTATGGAATATTCAATGGTGAAATATTTACTAAGCATCTACTATCATCTAGGCTCTGTTCTGGATACAGGAGAGAACAAATTGGTAATTTCCAAGTATTCCAAGTATGACAACATTTTTATCAATTTGAGAAAGTATCCAAAAGGGGCTGGTTTCAGGACAACTGCAGCTACCCAAATCTATAGGTACTCAAGATTCTTACATAAAATGGTATAATACTTGCACAAAATCTATGCACTTTCTCTCACTTCCTTAAATCATCTCTAAATTACCTACTAACTCTAACCCAATGTAAATGCTATATAGTTGTCACATTGCATTGTTTAGGGAATAATGAACGGAAAAAAACTCTATGCTTGGTATAATTTTATTCTTTTTGTTTGTTTTTGGATATTTTTTTCACTTGTCAATAACAAAGCAGGGAAAAACCTGACTTGTACATCAGTTGGATTTGATAACATCCTGGTTTATTGTGTAATCTTTTCTGACATACATCCATAAGAATTTGAGGTCAGCTATCTGAAAGTGCACTAGGTACTTCTGTTTGCCTGCAACTTTTTAAAATGCTGATGAAAGGACCCTTATAAACATATAACACTTAAAGCACACCAACAAAATGGAACTTTTCCAAGCTTTGTAAGAAGCAAAGTGGCTCAAACAGGAACAAAAAAGCTCAGAAAACTAGATAAAAACCAACTAAAAGTGGAAAATATTAATTCTACCAATCTGCCATTCCTATCTTTTATTTTTAAATATTTTTATTTATTATTTTATGTGTTTGCATGTATTGCCTGCATGTAGGTAAGTGCACCTGTGTCACGCAATGTTCACGGAGGACAGAAGAGGCTGTCAGATCCCCTGGGACTGGAGTTACTGACAGTTGTTAGCTGCCATGTGGGTGCTGGGATTTGAACCCGGGTCTTCTGCAAGAACAGTCAGTGTTCTTAGCTGCTGTGCTATCTCTCCAGTTCCTGCTCCTATCTTTTATTATTATTTTTGAGCCAGGTCTCACCTGAGGCTAGCCTGGAACTCATGATCTTCCCCCACCCCCAGCTACCCCATGCTGGGATTACAGACATGCACTATCAAATCGAGCTTCTCCTTTTTCAACGAAAGTATGCACCGTGACTGTGTCTGAGTTAACATTCTCCCAGGGCTAAGTGGAGGGCTGCTATGGATGGGGCTACTGTCACTGTAAGAGCCTAGGGGAGAGAGTACCACCGGGTACAGGCCATGTACCCACTTCCAGGTAAACCAGAATGTCCAGGTCTTGCTGGACTCAGAGGCTGACCTGAACCTGAAGGTCACTCTTACTTTATTACTGTGTTCTGTTTTGTCCCTATCTTCTTGTTCCACTCTTTTGTAATTAGGGCAAGATGAGAGGTTCAACTAATCTACAAATGCTAACCATACCTTAAACTGTCTTACTCAAACATCTTTTTGAAAATATAACTAATTTCTACCTATAGTTATTTTGAAGATAAATGGTACGTCAGTTGAAAACAGGTGGGGCATGGAACTAAGGCTCACCACCACCCTTGCATACACTGTAAATGAGTTGCCATATGGTGGTGGGAAGGACCAGCTAGTGAGTCTTCTCCAGGAAGGCCTTGCAGCACCTGAGATATTGCTGATACACCAGCCCAAAGTCAGAGTCTTTGCCATAATAGGGATCGTCAATAATGAACTGTTTCTAGGCTGGGCATGGTGACACATGCCTTTCTTTGATCCCGGCACTCAAGAGTCAGAGGCAGGCAGATCTCTGTGAGTTCGAAGCCAGCCTGGTCTACATAGCGAGTTCCAGGCCAGCTGGGGCTACAGGGAGACCCTGTCTCAAAAAGATTAAAAAAAAAAAAAAAGGCTGTTTCCACGCTCCCAAGTAGCTCAATTTTAGCTTTGCAGGTTTTTAACTTTGATTACATTTTCTATTCAAATCTCTCAGATTGCTTTCATTCATACACAGTATATAACTTAATATGGCAAAGTCTTTGGTAATCTCCTCAACAACTCGATTCAGCTCTGCTGCTGACAGTCGGGGATTTCCCACTTCGTAGGTAGATATAGCCACAATGTCTATTCTCCAATCATCAGAAATATTTTCATCAGTTACAGGTTTTCTGACAATTGCTTCTGCAAGGGGTGACCTACTGCTAATCCAGACACAGAAGTAACACCAACTTGGACCCATGCTCAGCCATCTTACTGTAGGGAAAGTATTGCCCAGTAACCACATCAACACACAGTGCATAAGTATACAGCTCAGCGCATATGTATATAGCACACACTCAGTATACCACCCTATATATTAGCACTGATGGACGCAGGGCCACCCTAATTTTATTCTTCGACTTAAAAAAATTTATCTATTTTTATTTTATGTGTATGTGGGTTTTGCTGCATGTAAGTGCCCCTGTGTGTGTAATGCCTGCGGAGGCCAGAAGGCATCAGGTCTCCTGGAACTGAAGTCATAGACAATTATTAGCTGCCATGTGGATGCTGGGAACTGAACCCAGGTCCTCTGCAAGAGCAGCCAGTACTCCTAACTGCTGAATCATCTCTCCAGCCCTCTTAAAAGACTCTGGATCTGAGGCTGGCAGACTCTAAGGGCTATCTTCATTTCTCATGTGCAAATCTATTCCAGACTTTGCTTTCTATAGTGATTTCACCAACATTTTATTAAAAATTACTTCTAGCTGTGCACAGTGGTGTGTGCCCTTAATTCCAGCACTTGGGAGACAGAGGCAGGTGGATCTCTGAGTTTAAGGCCAGCCAGGTCTACAGAGAAGGTTCCATGTTAGCCAGGGCTACAAATGTGCAGAAAAGATGAGTTTTACAGTAAATAGTCCTATAATCACCAAAGTTTTGTCACCAGCACTTATCACTGCATTATTTTAATTGTGTATCTATTCAACTTTAGCTTTGAATGCATTTCAAAGTAAACTATACACTTTTTTTTTTTTTTTTTTGGTCTTTTTGAGACAGGGTCTCCCTGTAGCCCCAGCTGTCCTGGAACTCACTATGTAGACCAGGCTGGCCTTGAACTCACAGAGATCCGCCTGCCTCTGCCTCCCAAGTGCTGGGATTAATGGTGTGCACCACCACACCTGGCCCTACACTTTTATCTAACTTAT